TCATTCTTATTTTCCCAAGTATAATTTGGGCCTCAATGGTGTTTCCACTTGACAAGCACCAACTCCACTTCTTTATTACACAATTCAATCGTTCTTTCGTTTACAATCTCTTCAGGCTCTTCTAAATATCTTAATTTACTATCCAATTTCACCTCGGATAATGGGACTGTTTCATCATATATGCTTAAACATTTACGCAAATAACTTACATGAAACACATCATGAATACCTGCCAAATCTTCCGGCAATTCCAAACGGTATGCTTGCTTACCAATTCTCTGGATGATTTTGAAAGGTGCAACAAATCTAGGACTCAATTTTTCTTTCTTCCCAAATCGCATAATGCCTCTCCATGGGGATACCTTTAGCATTACAAAATCACCCAACTGGAATTCTGTGGGCCGTCTTCTCTTTTCTGCATAGGACTTCTGTCAATCCTGGGCCGATTTCATTCTTTCTCGTACAATTTGAATCTTGTTAGTGGTGTCTTGAATCATTTCAGGGCCTCCAAGGATTTTATGTCCTGCATCACGCCAACATAATGGAGTACAGCATTTACGACCATATAATGCTTCATATGGTGGCATTTTGATTGAAGTGTGGTAGTTGTTGTTATATGAAAATTCGACAAGAGGTAAATACTTGTCCCAGTTACCACCAAATTCTAGGACACTTGCATGAAATATATCTTCTACTGTTTAGATTGTTCTCTCCGTCTGACCATTTCTATGGAGATGATAAGTTATGCTGAGAGCAATCCGAGATCCTAATTCACGTTGCATACTCGCCCAAAAATGAGAAGTGAAGTGAGTATCACGATCGAAAATAATCTTTAGTGGCACACCATGTCTTGCAACAATTTCATCCAAGTATACTTGTGCTTATTTCTCCATTGGAGTTGTTTCATGCATGGTAAGAAAATGTGCACTTTTAGTCAGTCGGTCGAAAATTACCCAAATGCTATCATTCTGTCTCGCAGTCTTTGGCAATTTGGTAATAAAATCCATGGATAGCTCCTCCCATTTCCACATAGGCACATTAATACTTTTTGGACTACCATATGGCTTTTGGTGTTCCGCTTTGACTTGTAAGCATACTAAGCATTCATGCACGTATCTTCCAATGTCTCTCTTTAATCCAAACCAGCAATAATCAGCTCGTACATCATAGTACATTTTACTTGTGCCAGTATGTATTGACAGTTTAGACTTATGGGTTTCATCCAAAATCTTCTGTCTTAATCCACCAATCTCTGGAATCCATAGCCGATTCCTAAATACTTTCAGTCCACATGGATCATCAAGTAAAATATCAGCATAATGTACCATTCCTTCATTCTTCACATTTTTTGGCTTTAAGACCTCTATTTGCCATTTTTCTAGTTCATCAAGAATAGTAAACTTTACAGTAGTGTGAGTAATAACATAACACACACTATTATTATAAACCTTCCTGCTAAGTGCATCGGCAACTACATCGGCCTTTCCAGGATGATACAGGATTTCACAGTCATAGTCTTTGGTTAGCTCCATGGCTCACTGTTGTCTCATATTCAAATTTTGCTGACTAAATACATACTTGAGACTTTTGTGGTCAGTAAACAATTGGCATTTTGTACCAAAAAGATAATGTCTCCAAAGTTTTAGGGAAAATACTACTGCAGTAAGTTCGAGGTCAAAAGTGGGATAATTCTTTTCATATCTTTCAGTTTTCTTGAGGCACAGACTATTACTCTACCACGCTGCATCAATACACAATCGAGTCCTAAGCTTGAAGCATCACTATACAAGGAAAAATCACTATCACCTTCTAGGAGTGATAAGATTGGAGCATGAGTCAAAATATCTTTTAAAGTTGAGAAAGCTTGTTCTTGGGCTTCACCCCATTCAAACTTTGCTTCCTTTCATGTAAGACTTGTGAGAGATACATCTATACGTGAAAAATCTTTAATGAATCTCCGGTAATACCCTACGAGACCCAAGAAACTACGAATTTCAAAAGCATTACGGGGTGCTTCCCAATTCTGAATGGCTTCAATTTTAGTAGGATCTACTGATATATCGTCACCAGAAATCACATGGCTGAGAAATTAAAATTGATGAAGCCAAAATTAACATTTGGAGAATTTAGGATATAATTTCTCCTTTCGAAGAAGTTCTAATATTTCATGAATATGAATGGGATGATCAACTTCAGATTTGGAATAGATTAGAATATCCTCAATGTATACGATGACAGATTTATCAAGCATTGGACGGCACACCTTATTCACCATATCCATGAATACAGCAGGAGCATTTGTCAAACCGAATGGCATGACAAGGAATTCGAAATGCCTATAATGAGTACGGAGAGCAGTCTTCGGTATATCCTTCTTGTGTACTTTGAATTGATGATAACCAAACCTCAAATCAACCTTCAAGAAATAGCGAACACCCTGAAGTTGATCAAACAAGTCGTTTATGCGAGGTAGTGGATACTTGTTCTTGATAGTTACCTTATTTAGCTCACGATAATCAATACACATTCGCATCGATGCGTCCTTCTTCTTGACAAACAATACTGGAGCACCCCAGGGAGAGGTACTCGGTCGAATAAAGCCATTGTCAAGTAAATTCTTTAGTTGGATCATCATTTCCTTCATCTCAGCTGGTGCAAAACGATAAGGAGTCTTTGCAATTGGAGATCTAAATCCCCTACTTTGGTTGCTCATTGGAAATGTCCTTAATAAGGGTAAAGTTTTTGACTTTACCTATTAATAACACTTCTTAGAGGGTTTAGTTCAAACCCTAATTCCTTGGGACCTAGAGCTTGGTCCTTAAGTCCTCCATACACCAAACTCCAGCTTACAACCTCAGATCTAAACCCTTATGCCATTTGGGCACGTAAAGTCTCGAGCTTTCTTTCATGCATGGCCCTTTTAGGGCTAAAAAGGACATATAAATGCTCATAACTTACATGGGAATTCCATGGCCATAAAGTTTGCACCTTTATGCCATGGAACCCCTCCTAGATCCCTGATCTGAACACAAAACACTTGAGGCGTCCAAAACCCCAAAGATCATGACTCTTGGACAAAAACCTTCATAAAAAGGAAATAACTAGATCTAAGAGAAGAATGATCAGGTTAGAGACTTGAATATCAGAAAATGCAGCAAATGGAGTGTAGCTTCTGGATCTATTCCTTCCCTCTCGACCCCTCTAGGATTTCATGGAGTATGGTTTAGGATAATGAGGTTGTAAATGAGGCTAAGGGGTGGGGGTTAGGATGCTTAAATAGGGTGCAAAACCCCGAAATTAGGGTTTCACCCTGGCCGGGCTACTCGCCGAGTCAGGACTCGACTCGCTAAGTCAATAACTTAAACCTCGCGCATAGATTGCCCTCTACTCGACGAGTTAGGGCCACCAACTCGTCGAGTCCTTCTCTAAAAAATAATAAATAATTAAATTAAATGCGTACCAAGGAACCAGGCGTTACAATTTGATTCCTAGCTTCCATCAGAGAACGTAACCATTAGAACCGCCTCAAGGATTGTCTTAGGTGAGAAGGCTCCAACAGTCAAGTTAGATCAATGTATATGCGAAGATGGTTTCTCCTGGATGAAGAACCATCTTGGTAGGAAGAATATATGTATACAATGCATGCTCATGTCTGATAATGAGAGATCCTCCTCATAGAAGATGAGGTGTTTTATTTATAGATATATGCCAATGGATAATCTGGTTAAGCTTAAACCAACCTAGTTAGTCATGGACTATACCTTGCTGCCAGGCCTCTAAAGCGCATACAACCTAGCCACTGACTAGTTGGGCCTAAATTGGGATGCACCAAGACCTAACCATCTCCTCACACACCATCGATCTAACTTGATCGTCGAAGCCTACTCCCGGGTTATAGTCCCTGAGGCGGTCTAATGGTTTTGTTCTCTAACGACAGTTAGGAATCAAGACAAAACTTAGTAATGACACCTACTCCAAATATACAATCCAGATACGACACCAAGACCTGATGACCTGATTCCATGTCACATCAGTGTGTCTTATGACTACTTGCACTTAGTATAAAGAACTTAATATTACCAAAACGGGTAAGGAGCTTTGGTTTTTGTCAACATTTAGGCAACCATGTTTTTTTTCGTATACATATGACCAATAAATTTGTTTGATTTGTTCATAATAGGGTAATATCACTAGTAGTTATCAGTCATATTACCTTATTTTGAACATATTAAACAAGTTTAATGGTCAAATATGTACGAAAAAAACATGGTTACATAAATATGGACAAATATCAAAGTTCGTTACCCTTTAAATCGTTAACCCAAAATAATAAAGATATAGAAAAATATGGAAATTAAGAAATCTAATCCATATACATGAGCTTTTTGAAGAAAATAACCATTTTTTGAAAAATGACCACAATATCCTAAATGCCTTGATTCGGATTACTATTCACATCCCGAACTACTTTTCATTTTTTTTCAAAGAATGATACATTCCAAAATGCTTAATTTCGGGTTTGATCTTCAAATTCTGAAACTATTTTTTGGTTTTTCCCAAATTTTGATTAAAAAGTTATATCATCACTTGTGTCCAAAATTTCTATTTTTCTAAGGGTTTAATATCATTGTTTTTCAATAAAATGTTTAATTTTATGTATTAATATCGTATGTAGTTCATATTTACTATATTTGTTTAACTTTTTGCTAAATTTAAGTAAAAAAAAAATCTTGAAATTCCGTAGTCTTCTTCTTCTTCTTTTTTTTCAACATCCGAAACTTTATTTCAGAATGTGAATAGTAGTACGGAATGCCGTTCCGAAATTAATCAAAGAAACGTGTTTTTTCTTGATTGGAATGTCTATTCCAAGCAAAATAGTTATTTTTGCTAAAAGAAATGATTATTTTTTCCAAATAAACATTAAAAAAAATGATCACACTACTCAATTTCCATATAAAATATGGTTAACCCAAAATAATAAAGATATAAAATGTTAGGAGTAATGATCATTGATCAAAGTGAAAGTGTAACAAGTAGATCGATACCCCGCCCCAAAAATTCGCAGAAAAGGGATCAGACAAACATCCACACTCTAGGACAGAGCAAACACCAGAACAACAACTAGCTTTTGCTCTTTAATGCTCTCTCTCTCTCTCTCTCTCTCTCTCTTCCCCAAAACTCGATACTCTTGATTCTCTTTCATATTTTCATGAAAGCAGGAAAGAAACCCTTGTTTCTTTAAAGGAAAAATTCAAAGAATCACTTTAAATTTCCCTTTTGCAGTGTCTCTGATGATGACAATAATAGGTGATTTAAGATGAGATTATGGCTGCTGTGTTGTTATCAGATATTATGGCTCAAAACAACAACAGCAATGCCAGTGATGATGTTAAACCCACCATTTTACATGACTTTCTTGGCCGGGGATGTGCTCCGGTGACCAAGATCGCCGCCGCTAGTGATGTTGCCAGTGCTTCCTCCCCTTCTGCTTCAGTCTCCGGTGGTGGTGGTGGTGGCCGTGGCGGTGGGCCGGTCTCAACCACTTCTGATCTGGGTTCTGGTACTAACGCCGCCCCGCTTCCATTTACATGGGTTTCGTTCTCTTCAAAATTGATGTTCTAAAAAGCTCATTTTGTTCTTGAATTTTAGTTCCTAGAATTAATGGGTGTTTCCTTAAATTACTCATTTTGTTTTACTTGGTTAAGCTTTTTACTCTTTCGTCTCAAAATTTCATCAAAATTGGGCAATGATGATAAAGCAAATTGAGGTATTGGCTTCAATCTTACAAGAAAATGATCACATTTGGTACAAATTTTGATGCATCGGATACTAGTTCACGAGTTCTTAGTTTCATAATAGAATAGAAAGACTTGATTTTTTTTATGGGATAGGTATCTTTCAGTGGGTTAGTTTCATTGATACCATCACCATAATCAGTACGTTTTTCTTCAAATTTTGAAGCTAAATTCAACTATTTACCCCTGTTGCTCATTACAATTGATCAATAAGTTTGAATCGTATGTAAAAGAGCTATCTTGGCGTGTTTGATTGATGATCTTCCTGTTTTAACCATGGCAGAAAGGCAAGCTGGATTACACCTCGAAGGGGTACCATTCTATGGTCAAAAAACCGATTTTTCAACCTCCCAGATTAGGTATTCGGGTACCAAACGCAGCAACTCAGATTCTATTTTCATGGCGCCTTCAAGAGAAGCCATCCCACAATTGCGACCAGATTTTCCTGAAACCTCACACTTAATGAAGGTACGTTTTTCTCAATTTCTTCTGCTCCTCTACAAATATACACTCAACATGTTCGATGAAATGTCTCAATGAGAAATACCACATGTTGACTCCATTTTGGCTTTTCAATTACATTTTTTTTTTGTTAGATGCTGAGAAATGTAGGAGGAGAACGCCATAGATGGCCTCATGAGGATGAATCATTCATGGGTATGCATCAAATGAGGCCAACATCATCATCATCATCTCTAATGCTACAACAACAACAACAACAACAACAACCACCACCTGGTAAACCTGATCATTCAAATTCAACAAAATGGGAACGAGCCATTCCTGTAAACGTTGGGCCTGTACTTCAGTACCCTCCACCTGCTGCTGCTCAAGTTGTACAGTACAAGTATCAACCTGTTCAAAACAGATTCAAAGATGCCAATACCAATATCAATATGAACGTGAATGTGGGTCCCTCTTTGATTTCCCAATCAGCTGCTGATGAAGGTTCCAGAACTGGAATCAAAGGCTCCGGGATTTTGACCTCCTCCGGCAATGGCGGTGGCGGCAGTGGTGGTGGTGGAGTGGCTGAGCCAGGTGGCAGTAAACAGAAGTCGGTGATTGGTAATACTGATTCAGGCTCTACCCCAACTCGCCAGATGACTATATTTTATGGTGGTCAAGCTCATGTGTTTGATGATGTCCACCCAAACAAGGTCTCAGATTTATTTATTTTTTTTTTTTTCTCATTATTTTGTTAAAATAATTTTGTGATATTTATATTTTTTTATTTCAGGCTGATGTAATAATGGCTCTAGCTGGATCAAATGGTGGATCATGGTCTACAAGTTTCTTACCCAATTCATCTGTAAAACCATCCGGTAATTCCATTCCTTTCATTTCTAATTCCATTGTGTCATTCCATTCCTAAGTTATTAGTTATTTCTTTTAATCATATTAACGAGTAAATAAATAATCATTAACTTAAAATTTGCAGGAGGTCAAGTGATGAAAGATGGAGAACAAAAGAGTGAAGAGAAGCAGTGATTAATTAATTTAGGAACTTTTAAAGGTACCTCATAATTATATATATATATATATATATATATATATATATATATATATATATATATATATATATATATATATATATATATATGTGGATTATGGTGTAGTTTAGCTAATTATTATTATATTATGCTTATTTAGTAATTAAAAACACATCTTTTTTGACCATCTTTAATCAATCTATCAAGTATCAAACTATCAAACTATCAATCTCACTTGATTTCACTTGTATTTCAAATTCCAAATTATCTCGTTTCTACACTCATAAATGATAAAATGTTTATTAGCAAAAAAAAAAAAAAATCCTCAAATGTAAAATCCGTAACTATAAAAAAACTAAAAAAGAATTGTAACATATTTGAGAAAATTAGCGGTAGTTAGGGTACGTTGGAGAATACATGCAGCTCTCAGCGAATTTAACAAGGTCATTAGGACGTGGGAGCACAGAAGCGAGATCTGATTTTAAAAAGAAAAAAAAAACATTATTTAGTATAAAAAATTTGTACTAAATAAATAAATGTAGTAAAAAGTGAAAATATAAAAAAAAATTACCAAGTTCATATGCCTTGGCAGCAACAGAGGCTGCAATATGTGCTGAAATCGTGCGGATACATGAATACGGTGGATATATAATTCCCTTGGCAAAGTTTTCATCCGTTACTTGTGATGCCAAACCTTCGGCTGTAAAAGATAAAAATGTTAGCCAGAACACAGTAAACAGTACACAGTACAGATGTTTCAAATAAAAGTTACAGATTTGCCACTTACATGCGGCCAAAAGTAAATCGTCATGCACGCGAGTTGCACCACACATGATTAATCCCAAACCGAATCCCGGGAATATATAAGCATTGTTTGCCTGTAATTTTAATAAAAGAAAAATTAAGAATGTAAACCGTGAAATTTCATTAAATAGTAACCAAGTTTTACGGTTGTTTCACATAGGTGGTTTTAGACCTGGCCGGGGACGAATACTTTGTCTTCATATGTCACGGGATCGAATGGGCTTCCACTAGCGAAAATTGCTCGACCCTATGCAATCACTTAGTTCTGTTATATTGTGAAATGACGAAAGTATCCTTTGACCGTTTGAATAAAAAAATTGATAGTAAGTTTATTTACTTGGCTCCATGTGTATGCTTCTTCGGCGGTACACTCGGCTTGTGAGGTTGGATTCGATAGAGCCATAATGAGTGGTTTCTACACGCGATTTTTAATCGAATTAATTTCGAATTTCTTAAAATAAATATTTATTGTGTTAAAAAAAGAAAAAAATAATAAAAATGAAAACGAACCTCGTTGTTAGATGACATGGCCTCGACAACTTCTTGTGTAAATTGTCTCCCAACTCCCGATGTTCCTATTAGCACTGTGGGTTTGATTTCCTGTATTAGAAAGTTAAACATATAAAATGTTTGTTTGGAGTAAGTGTTGTATACATAGAGACAATTTCTTTTTTGGATGTTTAAACGTGAGTAAATGATCATTTTACCCTTCTGTATATGTTAAGTGAAAAAGAAATGACCTTATTATATATATATATATATATATATATATATATATATATATATATATATATATATATATATATATATATATATATATATATATATACACGTGTCATTTTCTATGAAGTAAAAAAAGTTACCTTTACGGCATCTAAGAGATTGTTAATGGGTTCATGCTCGTGAGCCCATGGAAGCTTAAAGTGTGGAAGGGATTCTTTACGGGAGCTTACAAGCAACCCCTTTGAGTCAACAAGCCAAATCTTCTTTCGAGCCTCTTCCACATTAACACCTGTCTGTTAATAAATGACTATTTTACCCTTTAATGTATTATTAACAAAAAAAAAAGTTTAGAGAATTAGCATAGTGTTATACCACACTTTACCTGCTTCGATATTTGGAGTGCAATAAGCTCTGCTATTCCTGTACCAGCCTTTAAAACAAAAACAAAAATAAAAATAAAAAAAATTACGACATAAAGACCAATAAAAAAGCTTATTTTGTTGATTGTTTAATCATTTTTTTACCTCTCCAGCACCTAGAAATAAGAATGTATGATCCGAGAGGGTCCCACCGAGTAACTTGAGAGCTGAAAGCAAACCGGCAAGAACAACAGAAGCCGTACCCTGCAAATCATTTTAAAAAAATACATTATATATTAAAAATGGTTAATGTTATAAATAGGCAACAAACTATTTGTTTTCCCTTTCCAAAACACCATTGTTAAGGTTATAAATTGGAAATTTTGTTCGCAAAATAAAATACCATGCTTTTAATGGTATTTTGTGAATATTATTTTGCAACACAATGTTAATTTTACCTGTATATCATCGTTAAAAACAAGATGAGTATTGCGGTATTTATTAAGCAACTCAAACGCGTTATGATTTGCAAAATCTTCAAATTGTACAAGAATTTTTTCCCCGTAGTTTCGCTTCACAGCCGTCATGAACTCCTCTAACAACTCCGCATACTCCTACATCAAAACGTAACAAGGGCATTTATGTCTTTTTACACAAACACACATCCTTCTCCTATCTTGTTAAAACTTCTTGGATAAGATAAAAAAAATTACAATTTTGTTTATTAATATTTGTCACTGTCACTATCACTGTTATGATTCATAAAATATAGTACAAATACTATCATGATCGTGTTTTTTTTTATTTTTTTATTTTGTATTGTATCATTTTTTTTTGTACAATAAAATGTAATAATAACAAACCTCTCCTCTCGCTCTATGTTGTTTGAGACCAATGTAGAACTCATCGTTAAGCAACTTTTCATTATTTGTGCCAACATCAATCGTTATAGGTAAACACTGAAAATAAATAAATAACATTTAGCTTCTAGACATTTAATTTTGAGAAAATTAAGGATGAAAAAAAATAATGTTTTATAATTACAGCTGAAGGACGAACGCCTCCGAGCGCGGTATACAAAGAAAGTTTTCCAACGGGAATCCCCATCCCCTGAAAAAAAAAACATATTATTAAATTATTATAATATTATAATATTAATATATAATAATAATAATAATGATTAATTTTTTCTTTTATTAAAAAATCACACCTGGCAACCAAGATCACCTAGCCCCAATATTCTCTCGCCATCAGTAACAACGATAACTTGAATAAATCTTTGGGGCCAATTTCTCAACACTTCAAGAACCTGACCTCTGATGATATTCAGTTATTTAATGACGAAACTGCCCTCAACTTTTTATAAACGCAAGAAACATGAAAAATGAGAAAAATGAAGAATGCATGAGGGCATACTTGTCTTTTAAAGAGATGTAAAGTCCTTGAGGACGACGAAAAATGCTTCCAAATTTTTGGCAAGCTTCACCTACAGTTGGAGTGTATACAACTGGGAGTAGTTCTTCGACATGATCCACCAAAAGCTTGTAAAACAATCGTTCATTTCTCTCCTACAAGATTTGATGTTTTATTGTCAAAGATTTAGCATAATTTATAGCAATTTAACAGATACACCATGGCGATTAAAGGAAGAAAATACCTGTAAATCAATCATGGCTATGTATCTTTGCAAAGGGACTTCGTATTGTCGAATTAGGTGCATTACTTTTTTCTCCTGTAATTTCCATGATCAAGAACACAATTACGATTCAAGAAACGAACTCGATTATATATCGTGTTCGATTTTAACCCATGAGATTTATGAACTTACTTGAAGTTCTTGTGTAAATACAGTGGGAGGAAGAAGACCATGTAAGTAATGAGCATCTCTTTCCCTTTCTGTGAACGCTAACCCTTTGTTATGGTGTGGGTCTCGTAACAAATTATGCCCACTGGATCATAGAAACCAAATATTAATTAAGATCGAAACAGTCATTGAAGAATTCGGATAATAGAATAATGTAAGCATTGAATTAATAGCCATTGATTGATTTTGAATCACCTGGAAATGGACAAATTCCATGGCGTAACCAGTTGATCTCCGGCGACACCGCCATTATCATCCACAGCTCCATCTCCCATCGTCGTTCACCTCTATTTCGCAACAAATGTCTCTGAAAAGGAATCGAGAATCGAGAATAAACAACCACAAATGACAAAACAAAACCCCCAAATCGAGAATCGGATTGAATCACGTCAGATTGATAAATATTATATAGAAAAAACAGGCAACAAGATGAATTTATGACCTACCAGCAAGAGAATTGAAATCCGAATTGTGATCGCTGATCTTAACTAAGTTGAAATGTGAAGAAAGAATCGAGAATTGTTTAAGTTTTGGATGTGGATTTTTAAAAATGGGAGTGTGGAAGAGTATGATACCAGAGAGGAGGAGGATTAGGAGACGATGAAGGTGAGAGTTATATGTGTGTTTGAATTAAGAGAGAAAGTAGGAGAGTGACCCACTTCTGTATATGGAGTTGAAGTTTTCTTCCTTTTCTTTCTCTCATGCCTTTTTTGCTGCAAGAATTGAAGGTTTCAATACTCTTTCGAATTTGTAAATACGTCGACATGCAAGTTGATGTTGGTTCAAAGAAAATATGGGAAATATAAGAATACTAATTTGTAGTAACACTCTAATACGGTTCAAAAAAAAAAAAAAAAAAAAAAAAAAAAAAAAAGCAACCCTCTAATAATTTAAAAATGGATGGTATTAAATTGTCATATATTCGTAATATTTAGATGATTTAGTAAAATAAATAAGGGTTAACTTAAAAGTATAACAAGCAATTTGTATATCGTTTTTCTTTGAAACAAGTGATTAGCCGGTGCATGAATTCTCTAGAAAACTAAGATCTTGTTTGTTTCGGAAATAGTTAAATGTCTTTTGTTTTTTTTTTTCATGTTTGCGGAAGTAGACGTGCATTTGAGAAACATCTACCCGTCAGAAGGAAAAAGTGCTCAAAAAATATTTTTGTAAAAAAACAAACAAGACCTAAATGAACAATGAAACAAAAATAGTTGGTAGCGGGTAGCATGTAGTTTCTAGCTGGTAGAGTTTTGTTGAACGCTATGTGAAGTAACATTTGGATTTGTAACAGTCTGTCTAAACTAAATGTTAGAAGTTTGTAGTGTCAAACAAGACTTTGTGTTCAAAACGGAACATTTTATCAAACGCTAGAAGCTAGAAGCTCTCAAACGCTCCCAGTATCAAATACAATCCATGGCAAACATGTGGGATCAACTATAATTTTTTTTTGGTAAACTCTACTAAGATCAAATAAGAAGGAAAAATTTGATAGAAATATAAGAAATTTTTTATATACATATTTTTTTTAGCAAACAAGCAAAATAAATCAGTAAATGATTCAAAAGTAAAATGATTTATAAGAAAAAAGAGTAAATTACACGAACGGTTTGGGGTAATTTGCAAGTTTGGTCCCTAACTTATTTTTTTAACTCGGAAGGTCCCTATGGTTTGTTTTTGTTACGCGTTTGATCCATACTGTTTATTTTTGTTACGCGTTTGATCTCTATCTTATCTAAAAAGACTATTATTTAAATAGGAAAAAATAATGTGGTAGATGAGGTAAGGTGAAGGGGTGGGATTAGGGGGGTGTTTATTTAATAAAATTAAAAAAAATCAATGACATAATAGTCTTTTTAGGTAAGATAGGGACCAAGTGCGTAACAAAATCAAACAGTAGGGACCTTCCGAGTTAAAAAAATAAGTTAGGGACCAAACGCGCAAATTACCCTAAACCATAGGGACCATTCGTGTAATTTACCCTTATTCTAAAAAAACACCTTCACGATTCATTTTTAATTAAATCAAGAAAAAAATCACTTTTATGACAATTTTAATAAATATCAACAAAATCATCGTAAAAATGAATCATCGAGATAGTTTTTTGGGATATTTTTTTGTGAATCATGTTAGCTTATCTAGTGATTCATTTGTTTTGTTTATCAAAAAAATATGTTGAAAAAAAAAACTTCTTACCTTTCTGCCAAAAAAAATTGTTATATATATATATATATATATATATATATATATATATATATATATATATGTGTGTGTGTATGTGTGAGATTTGAACTAAAATTTTGATTTGTTTCTTGTTTTTTATATATAGATATGTATTTTTGGTTATACAAGTCAAAAAATTTATGAAATCGTAATATATTCAATTTTTTCGATAAAAAATAAGTTGAATTTTAAAAATAAACAAAAAAAAATGCATTTTTTCTAAAATTTGTTACATCTACTGTAAATAAAATAAATGTATGATTGAGATTAAAATTTTGAACTAACTCGGTTTGTGTCTAATCTTGTCATGTCTCATCACTGCAAAACAGTATTTTCAGTGAGTTTGTTTTGTTATGTTCATCTAATCTCATGTGCCAAAAGCTACTTAAATTACAAAATAAAATTTAGAAAAGTCAATGTATTACCTAAAACATTTATATAAATAAAAGAAGTTAAATTAAAATTTCCTCAATAAGAATTGAGATTCACGATATCATGAAACCATTTTCAACATTTATCATGTTTTTT